AGGGTTCCGTCGCCCCGGCAGCTCATTATGTACTTACAAGTACCGCAGCCTCGGCAAACGCCGCTCTCGCCTCCCGGCCCCAAATCGGAGGTGGCAGAAGGGAGCGCTCCGCCGCCGCTGGTTCATGCCCGGCCAGCGGGGAGGTTTTATACCTCCGGCCGTCGGGTCCTAGGTCGCTGTATGGCACATGGAGAGCAATCGACTAATAATAGTAATGTGACAGTTAGCCGATGGAGCGGAGAGGAATCTGGCTAGTGCCAGACCTGCGAGACGGAGAGCGCGTTCGGTTTAAAGCAGCGCCTTTCTCTGGAAACTTTACAGAGCAGAGGCAGAACCATGATTTTATTACATCTGAATACGTGCCTTTTCCTGCTTAAAGATGACTCGTTTCCCGCATGTTCAATCGCAAGTTCTCCAGTGCAGAACTTTCTTCTTCCTTTCTCACTTGTATTGTGTCTGCCTAACTGGAGCCTAACTTGCAGCTGGATCTATAAATATTAGGATGATAACCACGCGCCCTTAGGCTTTGCAAATCTGAACCACAGCCATCAGGGTTAAAACATAAAATGTGTTTGCCTTTTGAAGGACAGCGCAGGAACTTTCCCCCAGTGCCACCCTCAAAATAGCTGTACTTGTATTTCTGAAGCAAAGGCACGAGATTTCAGTTAACACAGGGCTTTCAACTCTCAGTAAAGTAACAGTTTTCAGCAGATGAACACATATAACAAATCTGGGCAGATCAAAGCGTATACACATTGCCTTTTTACAGCAGTAAGGATTAAACACTTTACATTCTCCATTTCATTATTTCTATTACCCCACAAAGGAAGTCTTATTCCAGGACTGGCACTCACTATAGCAGTTTGGTTTGGAAATAATCCTGAAAAAACTCGTGTCCTAAAACCAAGAAAAGAGACAACAGCTTGGCACAGGGAGGGGAATGCGATTAAACCACTCTGGTTAGTACGACAGGCAGGGATCTTGCCAGCGTCACACCACTTGAATCTGCTCTGCCTGCATCGTGCCTGCAAGTCGCGATAGACACCCTTGGGTTGGGGGCTGCTTCATTTATTAAGGCGTCTGGCTGAATCACTTTTTGACTTCTAAGACTAGAAACACCAATATTTGGCATTTTGGTGGATTACTGGCCTACGTGCTGAAAATTTATCAATGCTGTGGACCATTTAATAGAAGCAAAATTGAACAGGTCAACAAAACAAAATCAGTTTAAACTGGACAGCTCAAAAGCTGTTCCATTTCTTTCATGTATATAATAAATTTTGTAGTAGTTGTTTTTTATTGGATTTCAGGGAGTAAATTCAAGTTTTAGATACAGTTATATGAGCAACAGTTGTTTCACTGAATTATTTTATTTAATATACACAACTGCAGTTCATTCAGGCAATAGAAAGTTCACAAATACACTTACTCTCACTTGATTTGACATGTTTAGTTTGACAGAAACCAAAGACTACAAAAGTGAAGTATAATAGTCACTAAGAACCCATTAAAAGTGAGATTATTATTACAACTAAATTACAAGTGATATAAATATTTGATTCTTGTATAATCTTTATACATCCACCATTTCTGATCCTAGGAGTACAGTTACGGCAGAAGAGGATGGCTTTTAAATTTAGCTTGTTCTTATTAGCATGAGAGAGGCATTCAAAACTATTTAAAAATTTAGAGATTATAAACTAAATTCTGATTTTGATTATGAAAACTAAAGTAGAATTGCATCATGCTACCGCTGCTTTGGTGCAGCTCTGGCATGTGTGTTTTCAAAGATGGTGGACTTGTGAAATTCTTAAGCCGTATGGCTGATTATCAACAGATAAAGAATAACTTTACGCACCGTCTAGCTAAGGGGTACAAACCGTAGGTTCTAACAGACCTGATTCCAGGTCTGTGTTACAAGGGGACAGCTATGTCCCACTGAAACGTATAGCGCTCTCTCCGGAGTTAGGAAGGGCAGTACGTATGCAAGTGCTTTTTGGGAAAAGGTCCAAAGAGACCCAGAGGAGATCAAAAGCCTGTCCACGTGTACCTGCATGCTTCCCTCTTCCTCTTTCTTTCTTCCTTTCTTAACTGTTCCTGAATCAAGTATTTGTTGGTGGTATCTTACAGCAACCAGATACTGTAATTCTTATTTTGGATGGGAAATACATCCATCCAATTTCCAACCCGCTTCTATGGACTTTTGAGAGCTCTATGAGTGCATGGGATTGCTCCTGATTAAAGGGATACATTTGTTTAAGCCAGGTATTATCAGGTTCTTACCCAATTTCTAAATATTTTAGTGTTTCAATTAGACCTTTTTCACTCTTCTGTTTAAAAAATTCCTTCCAGTTTTGACAGAAGATCAACTTTTAAATTATCTGGAAACATTTATAATCTCATGTGCAATGCTGTTGCACTTTCTTCAAGAGGTTTTTATAAACAATATGAAAATCACTCAAATACACATTTACTCCTGTGAAAAAGTGCATTTCTGTTTTTCTGTGATGAACGTTAAGGCATCACTTTCTTCATATAATTTTTTTAGACCAGACAAACCACAGCAGACAGTTTCCTTTGACACATTGCAACCTCCAGGTAGTACATTTGCTGTGGAACATGTCGTTTACTCGGTTACTTCTGTTTCCAGCTATTCCTATTGATTCTGAACCCAAAGAGACACCTTACTGTTCCATTTAACTTCATTCATAGACTTGCAAAAAGCTGCCATAATACAGATACTTTTGAGCAGTATGATCGGGGAAGACATGCATGTTTAAGCTAAGTGAGATGGGTGAAAAGAACTTCACGCTCTGGTATTGAAGGCATACTGTGCAGAGAAAAAAAGCATAGCATGGAGCACGCTGCCAAGGTCAGCAGCTTGAATGGTGGAAACAGGCCAACAGCAGCATTTGGAATTTTGGTTTTATTATACGTAGAATTATACTTTCTTTTTTTTTTAAATAAACTATAACCAATTGGCATTTCACATAAGTCATATGACACATTTTCATCATTTTTATATTTATGAGTACAACAAAGGAGCAAAATATCGGTTTCAGTAAAACCTACGGAACAGGTTTCAAATATAATTGTTTTGGGTTGTGTTTGCAACAAAAGTTGAAATGTTTCTAATCGATGTTTGTTTCAATATGCTAGATTTTAACAACATGCTTCTCAAGTATCTGAATATTTAGAATTACTCTGTAATTACTTACTCTGTATTACTTGACGCAGGATAGATTCTTGTGGGCTGGCTTTGTGCAGCACAGCATACATGAGTGTAGTTTAAAAGCCTAAGCTAACTATGAGACATTGTTTCAGTTTACAGAAATTCAAAGATTATAGATCATCATTATTTGTTACCTCTCGCACAGGAAAAAAGGTTACTGCGAGTTCCCTCACACCTTCTCGCTGTGCTGCGCTCCTATCTAAAGTTCAGGGTTCCATATCCTGAGCCACTGATTTGCACTGCACACAGATGGCCACAATCGCTTAAATTTCCTCTTAAATAGACACCTGACTTCCTACAAGGAAGGGAGGAAGATGGAAATTCTTTTAATTATAAAACACTGTCTTCGGGTTGGTTTCATGATTAACAAATCTCATCATACATCCTTATTTAAAAATATATTTTGAAATGCTACATATGAACTGAGAATGGTATTAGTTTATTTACCACCACCATATAAAGTAGTAAGAGTTTTAGAAAAGGAAAAGTTTTAAATTAATTGATGAAGCTAGCATAGCTTTTCAAATATAAATAATGCTCTAAAACACCTTCATGATGTTTAGATATTTCAAAACAAACTAAAGTAAAAAATGCACACTGGAAGTCATTCCTGCCCAAACAGTGCCTGCGTTTCCTGCATCGCTCTATCATAGTGTAGTACAAATGACTGCTTACACCCGCACAAATGTCATTTCAGGGCAGTGGCAACATGTTCAATTTTGTGAGTGTGATTACTTTATTGCATGTGTCACATGAATCAGAGACTGCATACAGCCCATTCAAAACACCTTCTAGATCTAGACACACAATGATTTGGAGACTCTGTAATGAACATTTTGTACTATAAGCCTTTAAAGGAAACAACTCCGTCAGCTTCACTTACAAATTATTTGTGCAAAAGTACAGTATTTCATAAATAAACTTTACCCAAATATTACAGAAGAAAGCTTTGGGATACATTAAGTATAAATACAGTGACAGCTGAGCTGCAAATTTAATTTAGGTATATACAGTAATATGCTCACCAGTTCTTTTCGCAGACATTTCATACATTTTAACCTCCCTGAGTCCTTTTCCATACTTAGCGACACAATACATTTTCAGATGCTTGCTCATTAACAGCAACAATAGCTTCGGTGTTAGAGAGAAAGGTGGGAAGGAGTATGTCAAAGCGCACTCTATTTCGTTTGTCATGGACTTTAAGCTTACTGTACTTTTGCTTCTAAGAGCCCACTGGTGATGACATGGCCATGACCACTTACGCAAGCACCGACATGTCTTAGTGAATCTGCTCCAAGATAGGCCATTAAAAGTTCAGTGTGTCGGATTAATAATTGCATCAGATCTTCAGCCAAACTCTCCATAGTTGAGTATCTCACCTTTTCAAAATCAAAAATGTCTTTGAGGAAGAAAAGCACTTGATCCTAGTGGGGGGAAGGGAAGGAAAAAATTGTATTCACTTACAAGAAGAAAAAACAAGTATGCAATCCTAGCTATTTCTTTTACGTGTTTCCTAAAACATCCATTTATGTATTCTTTTGGTGCTAAGACAGAAGTGTACTAATAATAGACTTTGCAAAACAGTTCTTGTCTTAAAAAAAATTTAATATGAAAATATTTATTTTCATAGTTTCTTACTGTTTGTCTTAGGAAAATATAAATGTATGCCTATAAGTAAGATCCTCATTTCTTTTAATCTAGAAGGTTTTTTTAAACATTAAGATAAGTGGTAATTAAGAAAAGAAGTTGCAAACCTTGAAGAAGCAGCATAGGTCATAAAGGGAATTTCTAGGCCCCAAAAAGCCCCATGCCAAAACAGGGCTGATATGTTCACATATAGCATAGAAATGTGCAAAAAATCCATCAGGCACCTAGTGATGTAAAAATTGCAGAGAAAAGTTACACAGTAAATTTAATATAAATCTCTATTATATAAAATTAAATGTTCAGAAAACCCTAAAACACCTACTACTTCAGGGCTGTGGTAACTTGAACTCCTTTAAGTTATAATGCAACTGCATCAAAAAAGTGCTACAATTTTTTTAGAAAAGGTTTTTACTTCAGTGGTACTTTGCATTTTAAATATTTTCAGATTAATAGGCATAAGCCCCAAAAGATCTTGAACAACCTACTCTGAACTCCCATATGACAGATCAGATAATTTTATTCAGTTATTCCTGTTTGAGCCCCTATACACTATGTATACCTGAAACTTGCAAAAACGTAAGCAAACTGCACAGTTTTGAATGGAAAAAAGCCTACACCTTACAAGAATCTATCTTTAAGTGTAAAGAAAAACTATAAAATATCGTGAATGTCCATCTTGTTGTTACTTTTACACCATACAGGCACTCATAAAATATAGTATAAAACTTCCATGGTGCTGAACTTTACCCACTTCTGAATGACTCCAGCAGCACTGATGAAACTAGTCCCAAGGAGTAAAGTTACTCACACGTTTACAAAGTTATAAATATTGAGACTTCAGTATTCAAAGGAACTACAGAGGAAGAAGGTTGTGCATTGAAACAGAGATGAAAATAATAGGTTACTATAACACCTATTTTTGAGATATAATCCCTTTATATAAAACTAGTGTAGAAAAGATCTATTTATATAAAATTCCCAACCATATTGACACAGGGATGTCACATCTCAAATCTTAAGACATAATGGTAGCTCAGGACCTTTTACAAAATACCAACTGTCATTGGAAGCAACTTTTTAATGATGAAATTTGTCTTTAACAGTCAGGAGCCACATAAATAGCTATTCTTAGAATCAGAGAAAGGTGTCAGTGCCAACCACGTGAGCAGACATTCCTCACCTGCGGTATGCAAAACCACTTCTAATAGCTATGGATGTCCTGCTGCAAGCCTCAACTCTGCTTTTGGACTGGCTGTTACAGACATCAGGCATTTGCCTCCAAGGTCTAATAAAGGCCTCCAAAGGTAAGGAGTTGCTGGCGCAGAGGAGTTCTACTTCAAAATCTGCAGAGTTCCTTCACCGAGAGGACACGATGCAGAAGGGGACTGAAGGAGGCTGCAACAGAGTTCCTGCCGCTACCGAGGAAGATGGTACTTCAGGTAGGTAAAGGGACAGGACTGAATTTTATTTAGCTGTGGAGATGACGCAGGGAGATGGGGTGGAGAATCTTAGCGCAAGCAGGCCAGATAGGAGATTAATGACCTTGGTCTCCGAAACTCCAAGGTACATGTGTGGGGCTGTAAGTCAGAGAAATTAGTCACCACTGCTGACTGGACCTAAACTAGGTTGAAAATCTTTCAGTTAAGACTTTTGCTAAAAAAACTGGTACTAGGGGCCCATGAGCTAAACTTACACAATTGGCAGCCTCTTGTTCAAATGAAGATGTCTACAGGATTAAGGGTTGATCTGTAATTTATTTTGCCAAAGCTACAGAGCATAACTTCAAATTCTTAGGAGACGATCAGTAACTTTGGGCCACATAACCTGCAAGGCAACTTACCTTCATTTGCTGTCGTTTCTGCTTCAGTACTGACCAACAGCTTGAAGCTACAGCCTAAATGTAAAAAAAACAAAACAAAAAACACCCCAAACCCTGTGTAACTTCATTATAAGAGAAATTATCTTTCATCTCAAAAGAAGTGATCTGCAGAATACTGTATTTCTGTATTTGGGGGATTTGTATTTTCTTCAGTTTGAGTCTTGTGATAATACGAAGTTTAAAACTATAAAATATCAGCCGATACAACTAATTTTTTTATGCAGTTCATGCTTGTTATTTTCAGATCTTACTTCACAATGTTTTATTTAGTTTAATTCAAATATAATTTGGCATCCTTGATTGATTTTACAGTTACAACAGTTAGCAACATTCACTGGGTTTAACCGAGAACCAGTCTCTTGTATACCAAAGTGTGTGCTCAGACATAAATAACTATTTTAGATATTAAGTGGCATGTGACCACATTGAAATGTCCTTTTTCATTTTAGCAAAAACATTCTTGCAATAGCTTCAGATTCCGCTAAGGAGTTTTGTCCAAATATGGACCTGTGAAATACAATATACTGATATCAGTACTAAGCTTTTTCCCCTCAGAGCTTGTAACTATCCTCATCTGATTCTCCTTCAGTACTGCTAGGTAATTTACTACTCACAATGTTATCACATATCTACAAAAATAAATATATGCATGTTACCTTTTGATTTTTCTCTAGAGAGAATATTTCAATTGAAAGACAAAAAGGAAAGGAAACTAGCAGTTCATAGATATAAATGGATGAAAAATGACAGCAGTACCTCTGCCAGCTGACCATGGCAGTAGCCTGTACGTCTGTAACAGAGGGATGAGATCTATTTGACAAATTAACAGGCACAACTGAAAAAGCGTGAAATGTTATCAGCATTTGAATGCCTGCATTGTATTCATTTGCATTTGTTTGCTCGCAACTTTGTGCCTAATTGCTAAATCTCTGGCATAGGAAACAAAACCTGTATCTAGTATCTACGATGTGGCTAACAGAAACTTCCATGCTAAAATTCTACTTCCTCAGAGAAAACTCATATTTGCAGGACAAGTATTTTCTCCAATACATACAATCATTCTACATATTTTGGACCCACACCTTTAGCTTTTAAATTGCTATGTGAAAAGCCTGATCATTTTTTCTGAGGAACATTTCAGGTACATACTCATTTATACTGGAAGCTGAATTAGACTTTACAGTGAAGGACAGTGTAGTTTCTTTGCTTCAAAATTAATGCTATTATCCCGCTGTTGTTGGATTTATTCTTGTTATTGTGCTTTAAGAATATAAAGCACAGATTGACGGAAGAACAGTTTCAGCATGTACAGAACTGTTATATCAGAATGCTCACACCTATGTTGTATTTATCATACCATCTACTTAGTGTAACATACTACAGAATAGCAATTATGAAAATTACACGTAAATACTTACTGTTTCTTTAAAAGAGGAATTCAGCCAGCGGTTATTTACTACATTCTGTATAGAAATTGGTGGATTTTCTAAATCTTCAAATGAATCCATTAATATGAAGTCCAGAACAACATCATAAAAATTCACGTTTTTCACCTGTATTAAATCAGAACATGGTCTAAGTAACTTAGTTTCTCTTTCAGCAGTGGAATTTGACATGCACTGTATTCTAACTCTGTATTAACATACAGATTTATAATTGTTTTTAATGAATATTAAAGATATGTTGTCAGTAAAGGAGAAGTTAAAAAAAAATACATGCTTTCTGGTACTGAACTGCAGTTGTGGATGCCAGTTCTCTAAATCAGCAATATAAACAAAAAAGAGTTGCTTTTCCCACAATTTGCCTTTCTCACAATTCTAACTGTAAAAAAATTTATTTTTAGATGCTACAGTTTGCATAATTAAGGGTAAAAGCACTTTTCAGAAATTCAGACTTACTCCTCTAGCAGCAAGTTCCATTTCAGTATTATCCCAGTGATCTGTTTGTTCCAAAAAATATATCATTTCATCAAAGACATCTTCAAATTTCTTTGGATTCTGTAAAGTAAAAGCAATGAGTATCAAGCAAACTTAACAAGAGAAATGGTCTATTTACACTGACAAATGAATTCTGATAGAACTAACATTAACAGTAAAACATTAATTAAAAAAGGCTTTTTACCTTTCGTGCTCTCACAATTAAAGCAGACAAAATTTTTCTTCCAGTTTCAGCAAGAAATATTCTGTTTGATGTTTCTGAAAGAATTATCTAGAAAAGGTTTCAGAAAATATAGACACATTCATTCGCAGTTTATACTGTGACCTTAAACACTTCAATTGAACTTAACAGAATTATAACCACTAGTATAGTAGGCAAGTTCCTAATAAGCCTTGCGTGCAAAGGTTCCAAAGCTAATCACAAAACTGGGGCTCCTCTGCAAATATGTCCCATTTTAGAAGTATAGAAATGGAAAAGCAACAAGACAATATTTAATTACAGAATTAAATTATAAGAATGCTTGCACGAGTAGTGCATTAATAGTTTCAATGCCGTGTACCTTAGGCTTAACAAGAGAAACAGACAAATCACTTATTATTTACCTGAAAAGCTTGTCGAATACAATGAAGCTTAGCAAGGAAGTCACTGTCTCCTAGACATTCAAACATTTCAGTCCTATATAAAATAGGAAAGTTTTTAAAGACCATTACAAAAGAAGCACAAGAAAATTCAACTAAGTCTACTTTCTAGAAAAAAATACCTAGTACAAGTAACTTCTAAAAAATGAGTTCTATAGAGAGCATTTAACTTTAACTCTTGCTTTTCTTGGAAATAAGTAGGCATAAATCAATACCTTAACACTCGTGAATAAATTTTGCCTTCTTCTGCTAAGTGCATAGCTTCCTCATACAATGGGCAATGGCAAAGGGAATCTAGACCATACGTGTTACGAGTCTCTCTGTGCTCTGTAAGCTGAAAAAAAAATTGGTTTGAAGTTCATGAAAGAGCTTGCTAAAGTAATTTTTGTAAAGATAAAATATATTGAAGAAGTTTCCCCAATATTCTGTTGAAAGATGTATCTTTTTCTGCATCTGCTTAAAGCAAAGGGGCAACACTCAACTAGTAAACAGAAGAGAAACACCACGCTATTAACAAGACTGTTGCTTAATAACTTTTAAAATCTGAAAGCTACAGTTTCAGGTTTCAAGTTTCAAAAGTTTAATTAATAAAATGGAGGCAGTTTAGTTTTGTTTTTATTTTGCCTAGTTAAATCTAATGGGTCACAAAGCTATTAAAAAAAAAAAAGTCAGGACACAAAGTACAGAATGATTGCATCATGCAAATCTTTAGGAAGCTGGAAATAGTAACATCCTCCCACCCCTGTTTTTGTTTCCCTGGTAAATATGTCTGCTAGTTACCAAAGCATATTGTATGAAGCATGAGCATCCAGCATTTTACTACAGGCTCCCAAAAAGGTTTTCAATTCTGTAGTTATCATGTAAGTTAATGTGAACTCATAAACATTTTTAGAGAAAAAAAAAAAAAAAGATTAAAAAATTAAAGCACATAAATAATAGAGAGAACTCCTGTTTATAGGATATCGTATTTAATCCACAAAACAATAGCTAGCTACAATTTCCACTACAAACATTACATCATATTATTAATGATCCAAAAAAAATTAGAGGTTCACACATCCTTCAGTTTAGTTAATGACCAGAAAATGAATTCTAACTTTTTTTTAATTCAATTTTGTTTTGTTTTAATATATCCTGCATGGGGAAACAAATCTGTGCTTCTAGGCTATAAAAACAGAGCCTAGAAACATCTTTAAAAAATAATTCTCACAGTAATTGAACTATATAAAAATAGTTACCCTATGTCTTAGAAAGATTAAAAAAAATCAGATTGAAATATAACTTTATGTTAAAATTCCACTAAAATTTTCAAACAAATATATGCTGAGAAGTTTTTCCTATCACTGAGGACGTGCTGGCATGAGACTTCATAAAGACACTAACAAGTATGCTTCCAGCATGTCTTCTCCACAGATTTTAGTTGAGCTAATTACAACAACAGTTTGGCCAAGTAAGCTTGCCTGCTAAAGGGAAGAATAGAAGCACATGCCAATACCTATTTTTGTCCATGAAAACATTTAAGCACATGAGTAAGTTACAGAGATTTCAGTACAGAGTTGGTGTTCTGACACACATCACACATTGTTAGATGGTATATATTTGCTGGAACTTACACTGATGTTTTGAATTGCTCGTACCAGTATCCTTTTACTGTAAGCAAATACATACAATTCCTTTCATAAAATTGTCAGGTTCCATTTTAAACTGATTTGTAGGGTAAAAAAAAAAAAAAATCTGTATTCCTATACAGATTTCTATAGAGTTCTCAAATTGAGACTCAAGTAATGAGACGATAGCTAGGGAATAAGTGAAGGAATAAAAGTTTTAAGGTCAGCAAAATGTTATATTTAAATGAGTAATGTAGACTTTCAGAATTCACCTAGCTTGAAAGTATTTCCATTTTAAAAGCATGTAAGTGTTCATCAGTTGTTTTGTTTCGAAGAACAGAGTAGAATAAGCTGATTTCCTAAAAAAAGATTTACAGCTATTAAGACCAAAGATTTTATTCCAATTTAACAATATTAATCATATTAATCATAGCACCAAATTGTGTTTTGGATTCGCTAATTCAGAAAGCCCACCTGAACATTTATGTTCTTATTAAACAAAGGAAGCCACACAGCTTTTAATTGAAAATACATAGGAAGGAATCATTTAACCAACCGGAAGAAACAGGAATGTACTGACTTCTTTCTGTATATAGAAACACACACACACTCATATATACACAGGTATATATAGTGTAGTAGTTAGAACAGGTATAAACAAGAACAAGTGAAAAAATCTTTACTTCAGAATTTGTTTTTCTACATCATGGTCAAGAAAGTAATAATTGTAGAACAATAGATACATATTTTCCAAAATAAAGACCAAACTAGAACACAAATAAGTATACTAATTTATTTCTTACCTAATCCAGCTATTATTGAAGCCATAAAACATTCCATTTACTTTATTTCATTTGCAAAGTGTGAGAAGAAATAGGTTGTGAAAACACAAGCACTTTGTAAACAGCTGCCCCTCTCTTAGAGGTTATAATTTCTGTGGTAAAAGGGATTATATTAGATTTCTCTAGTGAACTTCAGGCAAATCACCTTCTTCAGATGTTTAGGCAAACTGAGTGACTGTGACTGAATTAGGACTAGTGTGATTTCTACAGACAGATGCAGGTAATCTCTATAAGCTGCCAGGCAGCCTGAGATGATAACGTCTGTAGCACATGAAGATGCCTGATCATAGCCTTTGTGGTTACAGATTAGCATAGATTCTGATACCTGGGAGTTGGGCGAGGCTCTTGATTATAATTAGCTTTTTTTTTTTTTTTAAATTCCTCTCATGCCAGCAGATGAAATAAAATAGCTGTATTACTGTCGTAATGTGTATTATTGAGCTCAAATGAAGCAAGCAGTTAAATCAACCAGCTACTAAGCAGGAGAGAAGTATAAAACTATTCTTCCGCTGAGAAGATGGTTTTGATTACAGACTGAAGTTAGTCCCAACCAATCACGTTTGCAAAGGGAGTGCAAATTCCTCTATCACTGATTTCTCTTCACATGCAAAAAGAGAAGAGAGAAAAAACAAAACAAACCGAAAACCAGAAAATAAAATGGCCTCTAGGTTTAACTAAAAAAAGGTGATTTCCAGACAAGCTCTGAAGCTGCATCGTAATGGTCCTGGAGTCATCATGGATTTTCTTTTGATGATTCAAAATAAAATTAGTTGAAGATGCTCCAAACACCCATTCACATTTCTAACATAGCAGAGTTCAGCTATTAGAAGAACGGACAAATCATATACAATGTTTAACAACATGCAGAGCATACAACATTTTCTATCTAAGAACTTCGCAAGCTGACATCAAAGGGAAAATTAACTCTTTCTTGTAAAAGTCTCCAAAGACTTGTTACCTTTGTGAAAAAAGGTGGAGAGAAAGGTTAGTTTTAAACAAGACGTCTCACTGTAACTACCTTATAGGAATTCGCATGCATTTGTGATGTATATTCATGTACCTGCTTTTTACCCCACAGTGTACCCCTATGCACCAAGTAACTTTCCTCGACAGTGGTTCAGTATTTATCAGAAGTTAGCAGAAAGCCCCAGTATCCCACATCGTGTCATCACAGGTAAGTTGGACTCTTGTAAGCTCCTTGAGTCCTTTCTTGCCACTCTGTAGTGAACACTTCTTTGCACAGGCACTGCCATTTTGAAACTCTTAACACACCACTAAGGATGAAAAAGTGCTCCATGCACAGCTACCAAAAGTGCTGGTAGTTGTAACATAGAGGTTGTGACGGTGGACCTGATGTGGCAGCCTCTAAATGCCTGCTATTTCCTCAGTGCCATGTGGGGTTACATGAAGAAGAATATGAAAATGCAGACAAGAAGAGATGGAAAGATGAACCGCCCAATAGCAGCAATCTAATCTTGTAATGCTTTATTTCTGTCCATTCAAGGCTCAAGAAGGAGATAGTAGCTGTTGGTGGCCACTGCACAGGACATTTATAATGACCTGCAGTGGATACCTATCTCCACTCTGTTGAAATAATACGTACATCTTCAAAACCCCAAAGCTTGTAGTGATAACTTGTGTCTCTACGCAGTGCTGCAAAGCAGCCTCTGAAGATTACAATGTGGAGTCGTTTTGTTCTGATGCTAATCACTTTTCTATGGACAGTTCAGCTTTAAGGCTGCATCTGCTAATAAAGAGATGCTGACACCATTGTGGTAAAGCATCAAACCTCTGGAACTTGCAATAATTTTTAAGCCTGGGATTCCCTGACTGCTCTAGTCTAATGAACAGACTCAGTACACTTATTTGCCACCCACAAGTTGTTTCTTAATAAATAGAAAAAATTCTCAGCTGTGCATCAAGACCTTGTTGACTACCAAAATAACAACCTACATGAATGTAACAAAAATAAACAATGCCAGACCTTTTAGGAATTCTTGCTCGCTCCCCCCTAATAAAAAGGTCAATTTACTGACACAGTCAGCATTCCTTACATTCCAAGAAACTATGCTTGTCCTATACGAAAAAAGCTGATCATGATCTCTTTCTCTGGGTATCTTTATCTTTTAAAATTTTGTTGGTTTGTTTTGTTGGTTTGTTTTTTTTTTAACATAAGTAGCTGCAGAATGAGTGTGAACCATTTGAGATGGTACTTTAATAAACTGAAATGATGAAGTGGTACATTTTTCCTAATACCTGGAAGAAAACAGGAAGGAATTTCAGGTATTTTCAGGAACTCCTAACTTTTATATATTACTTTGAGGAAACTTGTATATTATTTCTTTGAGGAAAAGACATTTAGAACATGATTTTATCTGAATTATTGCTGCAACTTTATTGATTTTAAGCATGATGAAGAATGTGAATTTACTACATTGTGTGTATCAGTGGAAGTACTACTCCTTGCCAGGCAGAATAATCCTAGGCTATGTGCTGTGTCCGGTACATAGGTTTTTGCCTACATAACAACTACATGGAGGTATTATGGTACAAAAATTAGTTCAGTGCTAGTATATGGGATTTGTTACAAATGTTACATATATTTCCTAAGAATTAAAACCTGTATAATACGAGCAGTCAGCATATAGGAACACACTGGCTTAGATGAAAGTCCTCCTTGTCCTAGAAGTGAAAACATTTAATATACTATGCAAATACCATATGTAGCTAAGGTTTCTGTTAGAGGACAAGGATCAACTCCAGATTTTTTTTATTTTACTATTATTTTTTAAAGCTTTTAGAGCACCATTTAATGACTTGTTGGCCTGAGTTTTCCTATTCATAGCCATAGAGTAAACAACCACAGTTGTCCTTGGAGGTAATCAAAGAAATCTGGTTCCCGTTGACCACTCTTCATTGCCATATGGAAAACTTTTCCCCACAATGGAATCTTTTTAACTGGGGCTACATCTATTAGGATGCAGAGGAAAAATAATGAGGAAAAAACCCAATCAACCCAACACAAATGAAGCATGAAGTTAGAGGAATTTGTTAGAAAGGACATAGGAAGGGGAGATGTTTCTCAGAGTAGAACAGAACTTTTCTGTTGCCTACACCACCACCGACATTTCTTGGGTGGTGGAAAGCTTCTGATGATGATATAAATAGACAAGCTTGATTACTGGATAACGTGTTTCACTGGTCACCATGAAATCTTTTGAGATTGCCCAAAGTTGTAAGCAGTAGTTAGTGGCACTTCAGGTACAGGTTCTTCAAAGAAATAGTATTACTGTTAACAGAATGAAGGACTTTAGGGATGAATTTTTTCCTCTCTTTCTCCACATGTTTTAAGACTATAAACAAGAGGCACCTCCATACCCCATTAAAGTTGTTAGAATAGGGAGCTCCTTACAATTTGCTACCCAGGGCATGCAGACTGCAGGACTGCTGTACTACATATGCACGTCAAATTGGACAGATGATGTGAACATGGAGGAAGTGACCAGGATGAGAACAGTAAGGCCTGAGAAGATCAGATTAGTGATTATGGTCACACTTCTGAAGGTAGTCAGAATACAGGAGGACATGTCTCTGATTTTTGTGATGAAACAGGAAAAAAACCAAACCAAACACCTCACTTATAAATGCCATAGGAACATACCTTCCTATTACTTGCCAATGTTATTCCCTCTGGTATTCTCTATTTCAGGAATGGAATAAGACATCTATTTGGAAACCAGGAAAAAGGTAACCCTACTTTTCAGTGACAAGGCTCTTTTTGAGCACTTTCTGAACCTAAAATTCAATTTCAGTCACATTGAAGGTTTTGGTGCCATATACAGATAATTATAGGCATACAGAAACTGGTGTTCTTACCCTGTTATCAAAGCCTTCTCCTTCCTGCACTGTTTTGGTTTAATAGATTTGAACTGAGAAAGAGACAACCTTAGTAAAGAAATTACTGATAAAAAAAAAAAGAAAAAAAAAGGCAGCTAAGACTTTATTCACAAGACTAAAAAAAAAATCTCCTAAGCTTTGGACTGAGTTAGCGTGTTAATAAAGAAAGTAAAGTTTATTTGATAATAGAACTACAGATTCAGTTCTAGTCAAGATATGAAAATAAGACATGATAAATGCATGTCCACTGACAACAGAGAGGCAGCAAGGAAGCTCACTGTCAGGGACAGCAGGGACG